CCCCGCCGCTCCCCTCCTTCGAGCCCCGCAGTGAGTTTGAGCAGATGACGATCCTGTATGATATCTGGAACTCTGGCCTGGACTTGGAAGACATGAGCTACCTGCGGCTCACCTACGAGCGGCTGCTGCAGCAGACGAGTGGGGCTGACTGGCTCAACGACACCCACTGGGTCCATCACACCAATATCCTGAGTGCAGGGGCCGTCCTGCCTGCCCAGCCGGGAAGGCACAGGCACAGGGGCAGGGGCGGTCTTCCCTGGGGTCGCACAGCTGGGCGGTGCCTTCCCCAGGTCACTCCTAGTGCCTGTATTGATCTCCCTCCCTGTCTGTCCGACCTCTACGCCATGTCCAGCCTGGGGGTTTCTCCTCTGCCTCCTGAGCCAGCTTTGCTCTCTGCCTCCTGCCTCTTTTCTGCCTCCTGAAGCTTTTCTGGCAGAAAAGGTTGGGTCTGAAATTTCCTCCCTCATCTTCTGCCCTCCCCCTGGTGGACTCCCCAGCTAAGGCCAGTGCCTGTCTTTGGGCCGGGACGGGGGAGGACGGAGAGGAGCTGCCCTGGGGTCTGGCAGTGAGGAGCCCGTTCTCTTCCTTAATGCCCCGCACTCACCAACCTGAGCACTCCAAAACGCAAGCGGCGGCCTCAGGATGGGCCCCGAGAGCACCAGACAGGCTCGGCCCGCAGCGAAGGCTATTACCCCATCAGCAAGAAGGAGAAGGACAAATACCTAGACGTGTGCCCTGTCTCGGCCCGGCAGCTGGAAGAAGTGGACACTCAGGTGGGCGCTCTCCGATCCCTGGCCCACACACCCTCTTGCTGTAGCGCTGCCATCACTCACCTATTCCCTGCCCTGCTTCTCCCAGGGGACTAACCGTGTGCTTTCTGAGCGCCGGTCCGAGCAGCGGCGACTACTGAGTGCCATCGGCACCTCCGCCATCTTGGATAGCGATCTGCTGAAGCTAAACCAGCTCAAGGTGAGTAGTGCAGACTTGGGAAAGGGGAGAGGAGGCTCAGGGGGAAGGCAGGAGCAAGGGGGCTCCCCATCCAGGGTCCCTGGGCATGACTTAGGGAGTGAGTGGCTGGGACATCCTCCATCCTGGAGGTCTGCAGGAGGGGCAAGGAGCCGGGTTGTGGGAGGTGGCCCACAGCACAGTCTGCCTCTGCTCCCCAGTTCCGGAAGAAGAAGCTCCGATTTGGCCGGAGCCGGATCCATGAGTGGGGTCTATTCGCCATGGAACCCATTGCAGCTGATGAGATGGTCATCGAATACGTGGGTCAGAACATCCGCCAGGTGAGGCTCCATACCCAGCCCTGGCCTTGTTCTGCCACCAGGCAGTTGGGGTGCTCACAGGAGCACCGTTTGACCTTATGATCTAGCCTCCCTTAGCCTCAGCTCCAAGACCTGGCCAGTGACACCTGCCTGTGCTCCAGCCCTCGCTCTCAGTAACAGGTGCTAGTAGGTGGTGTGAGCGATCAGCAGGGACTCAGAA